GGTTGAGGTATAAAACCATGATGGAGTTCTTATTGCTAAATTAAAATTAAATAGAAGGAAAATAACATAAAAAAACTATTGTGCAGTTCTGATTCAAACAATATGCAACTCGGACAAGTTAAGAAAAGAGAGAAAGCAATGCCATCCGATCACCATAGAAGCGAAGGGACCACCTCTCTTATTAATGATTATAGGGCAAATTGCACTCACATTTTTCATAATAAACAGAAAGTGTTTTTTTTTTTTTTTTTTTTTTTTTTTTTTAAATCATATAATAAAAAAACAATATTTTTTTAAATTTATTTTATTTACATAACGCATAATTTAATTTTAAATTTTTTTATTTTTATAAATTAATACTAAACTATTTAAATGATTAAAAAATTATTTTTAATTTACATTATATTAACTTATAGATTACTAATTATTAAACTAAGGAAGATTCTCAAACACTAGGGTTTAATTTGATAACGCCACTTATAGTATTTTTTGCATATATTTACATAAGTTTTTGTAACTTATATGTAGATAAATTATTTATCTCTACTTTTAAAAGAGGAATATAAAAGACATCTTATTTAAAATTAATAAAATTTTTAAATATTTTTCATACATTATATGTTAAATTATTAATTAATTTAATTTTAAATTATAATATATTTAATTAAATAATTTTATACGCAACCACAACTTTGACTACTTTAGTTCAGATACACCTAATAGTCTCTATTATCTTTTTCCTCAAATTTTCTCCTGCTCAAATGATAATAATAATTTTATACTAAATAATTTTTTTAAAATATAATAATTAAATATTAATTTATTTTTTTATAATAATATAATATAACACTTTTAATAATTACCGTTATAAGATAATGCAATACCAAACAACGTTTGTCAGTCTAAGGTTTGGGATCGTCTGGAATGCCAAATACTAAATTTTAATAAAAATCTAATCAAGCAGCAATCATCGAAGCTTCCAACTTTCCAAGGGTGGGAAACTTGGCGGCCAAGTATTTCTAACGAAGTTTGGATAATTGGATTGAATTAGGACAAAGGGGCAAACTAGTCATTTCCTAAAGTGTCAGTAGACTCAGTACAGCTACCCCTTTTGGCGTTGACAATAACAACCAATAAACAAAAAACGCAAAGCCTGCGTCAACGAACAAAAACAGTAAAGCTTGATAAAACCCTAGTGCTCTTCTGAGATTTTTATTTTACACTTCCAGTAGAGAGTAAGGGGATCTTACTTCCTTCACTCTCCTTCGGGATTCCTGAGGAGGAAGACTCTTCAGCCCTGTATCTGTTCGCTTGTTAATTCCGATTCCGTCGATTGATTGATCGATCGATCGATCGATCGGTTGGGAACTTTTACGGGTGTGTTCGAATCGAGCTCTGTAATTCGCTTGAAGGGTTTTGCGGTCTTCGATTCTGTTTCGGTGAGTTCACGAAAACCCTAATCGTAGTAATTGTGTCTCTGTACTGCTTGTGTGTTTGCGGATTGGGTTCTCTGCTTTGATTTAGAAGGAGAAGGTAAGCGAGGATATCGAGATGGTGTGTCATAGATAATTAGGAAATAGATTTAACAATTAGCCAAGTATGTGAGATTTTTGGGGTTGTTAATGGGGTTCTAATTGCACCCGTTTTTATATAAAGAATGAAAAATAGTGTAATTGGTGTTTGATTATGAATGAAGCTGCAATTTGTTCCTTACTTTACTATCTTGGAGATTTTCAGACTGAGTTCAATTCAATGCTGATTATATTTTCCTTTTTCGGGTTATTTATGTGCCTGCTACTTTATCGACCTTTTATTTAACAGAAGAAGAAAAATTGGCCTTTTGTTAGCGGTTCACTAGGTTACAGACTTCCTTATCAATGATAAAATCTGCTCTTTTTTTTTTAACAAATATATTGCCTTTAACTGTTCGTGTGGTTTATTTGATTTATGTTTAGTGAATTTGGACTTTTTTTTTCTTTGAGAAACCCTCTTAGGGTTTTGCTTCAATTGTTTTCGATGCTAATGTTTGTTTAGCCTCTCTAGGGCAATGCTAACGTTTCAAGTTTTGCAGCATGTCATCATGAGTGTTGGGCCAAAGTTGAAGATCAAATATCCTGTTCCTGGCCCTCGGCCTTGCCAGTTTGGGAAGCAGGTGTCTGTACTCAAAGACCAGGGGGACAACTATTCTGTTAATTCAAATCGTGAGTTAGGGATTGAGAAAGCACAGAAGTGTCTGGGTGGTTCTGTTGGTGGGAAAAAGTTTCTTGCTGCTGGAGATTCACGGGAAACATCCTCTAAAAATGGTGCTAAAAAGCGTGGAACAGAGGAGTTGATGGATCATTCACAAGGAAAGAGGCAGAAAATGGATCGTGCTATGACGTTTCAGTGTTCTACCGTTCTGAAGCATCTGATGACTAATCGATATTTTTGTCTTTTTAGTAAACCAGTGGATCCAGTAGCACTGAAGATTCCTGATTATTTCTCAATTATAACTAACCCCATGGATTTGGGTACAGTTAAATCCAAACTAGACAAGAATACTTACCTGAGCATTGAGGACTTTGCAGCCGATATCAGACTGACTTTTGCCAATGCCATGTTATATAATCCCCCTGGTAATAAAGTTCATCAAATAGCCAAAGAACTTAGTGATCAGTTTGAGGTGAGATGGAAGTCTGTAGAAGGAAAATTAAAAGGTGAAAAAATTAAGGTTGCAGAGGGGAAGGTTTCAAGCATGCAAATGAAGGGGAACGAGGAGTTGAGACAGAATTGTCCTAAAACACCTCCACTGCATGGAAACACCTTGCCCAAGAGGTCAAAGGTGTCAGGGGAAATGGTCAAGAAATTGGAATTTGATGCAAAAGTAAGTATTTCCTTTTGATAATTTGACCTCTTGCTTACTTGAGCTAGAGCTTGATTTTGTGAAAGAACATTGTTCCAATTGTTGAATGCAGCCAATGTCGTCACAGCATGCTAATTGGCTTTGGGCATAATTTAATCTTTTTATTCTAGGAGCTTGTGCAATTTAGATCTGTTATATTACTGGTTCTGTTGTTGTTATTTTGCTTCTTTGGAGGTTGAGTTTTCTATTTTCTGTTCATAGTTAGACCACCACAAACCGGTTCAGACCTGCACAAGCAAGTTTTTGGGGAAAAAGTTATCCAAAGGTATGAAGTGGCAGAGTGCCATTCTGCTTTATGGCTCTTTATAGGAGCTAATCTGTAATGTGTCTTATAGGCACCAATAGTGGTGGTGAATATGCCCGTGTCTCTATCAATACCAAAACAGAAAGTGCCCCAGGTGCTAGCAAATGCTGTACATGTGGCAGCATTAGGTGTCAATGTAGCCTTATTGGTGATTCAAACCATGCATCTTCAAGTGGTAAGTTGATGTCTTCTCTTGTTAACTATCTCTCTCTCTCTCTCTCTCTCTCTCTAAAAATAAAAGAATAAAAAATAAAAAATCCTGCAACTTAAACTTACCCCGTGTAATTTTATTTTATTTTGTTTAGATATCACTTCAGAAAGATCTATCAGTGGTGATCATCGGTCATGTACTACTGATGCTTCTCATCTGGTAAACATACATCTTTTTGGATTTGAAACATCATGAACACCATTGAATTTTTTCTTTTTTTTATTGGTTATTCTTCCTATGTTGTGTGAAGATTGAAAATTTAGATCAAAATACAGGATCCCCTAGCGAAAGGCACATCAACATCACAGATGAGCAAGTCAGATCCAGATTCTGATGGTAAGGAAGCATTTTCAGTTATTGTGTTTGATATTGGAGTTATTTCTTGCTTTATGTACTGGCATACTGGTAAAAAAGTGATCTGAAATTCTATTGGCATCCTGTTAAATATGTGAAGGAGCCATAAGTGCATTTGATGATGGGAACACTTGTCTTAGCTCGGAACTCAAAATCCATGCATCTGATGGTGTGGTTAGTGATGGTAAGTTTATCTATTGATGATACTTGGATTCTCTCTGTCTGTCTGTTGGGCTCCAATTGCTGATGTACCTTTCTTACTTGCCATGGTTTGTAACTGTAATTGGTGGCTCAAATTCAAGTTTTGGCCATTTTCCCAACTCCTGATAATTTAGGTGTTTAATTTTGTAGGGTTAATCGCACCAATTGTTGATGTTCAAATGTCTCCATCAAAGGCTCTACGAGCTGCAATGCTGAAGAGCCGTTTTGCAGACACTATTTTGAAGGCCAAACAAAAGACTCTCCTTGATCATGTAAGTTTTCTTCAAGGGATAGATTGGATGCTACTGAGAATTTTATGCAAAAGAGCTGGAATCTCTGTGCCGTTTATTGTTAAGTATATTGATTATATATGTTTACTTGCTATATATAGGGTGATAAGGCCGATCCTGTAAAGATCCAGCAGGAGAAGGAACGATTGGAAAGAAGACAGCGTGAAGGTGATTACTAGGCTCCATTGTTTTTGTTGTGCATGAATGATAGAAAATTTTAGAGTTTTGTGTTGTTGATGAGTTGTTAAGCTTTCAATGTTTTCTGTTGTTTCCAATTGCATTTTATGACTAAAAGATTATATTTTAAGGTTAGAAAACAAAACAAGAAAAGAAAGGATTGGAATTCTGAAAGAGTGCAAA